TTTAGCACTAAGCTAAGTGTGGGACACTGTAAGATGCTGCAAGTGTAAGGTGCATTAAAGTTGAAATTTCTTTAAAACCCTACACCTTATTGTCCTCAAGCTTCGTGATACACATCCTTTAGATGAGTAGTGTAGAACACAAGTGAAAAAAAAGTAGTGGTAATGTTTTTGTTTTTTTAATTTCTCTATAAAAACAAATAGTGCCGACCTGAAGCTGTGTGTTAAAGTGCATTAAAGTTGAAATGTCAAAACCCCACAGCTGAATTTCCTCAAACTTGATGAGAAACATACTTGAAATGTGTGGAATTAAAGTAAGGAAATCTAGGTGAAATGTTGCTTTTTTGTACACTACTGTACATTACACTTTTGCACAATGGTGGTGTGTGCGTGTGCGTGTGCGTGCATGCGTGCGCGCACACACACACACCATCTGTGTTTCCCCACACACTACAGATACTTCTAACCATAGAAGTAAGGGGTGGCTGTGGCTGAGAGGTTAGAGCAGTCGTCCTCCAATGCAAGAGTTGGGGGTTTGAATCCACCAGCAGTCACATGTCGAAGTGTCCCTGGGCAAGACACTGAACCCCTCATTGCCTCTGATGTGTCCCATCGGTGTATGAATGTGATAAAGCTCTGATTAGTCTCTTTAGAATGATTTGTGCAATTAGCTTTGTAGAGATCTAGTATAGAGCTGTATGAATGGGTACATGAGGCACAGATTGTTGTAAAGCGCTTTGAGTATCTCGATAAGAGAGAAAGGCGCTATATAAGTACAGTCCATTTACCATAGACATATATACATAGATGCCTCATTGAGCGCTGAATCGTATGTCGACATCATTTTGAATGTGGCAGACCTGCCGGTCAACTTATGCCCCTTTTCCATTAGTACCTTTAGCACTGGTACAGCATGGTTCGACTCGACTCGGCACAGTATGGGTTGTGTTTCTATTATGCTTTCAGTAATGGTTCTAGTGGGCGGGGTTCAGAGTTCAAAAATTGACATCACGCGCCTTACCAGCTAGTGGCGGTAATGCTTGTGGTAAGACCCTGAAACAGGTTTCAGTACAGGATGAGAATTTATTTAGAAATTTCTGGTAAATTATAAAGAATACAGATTATTAAAATGATCAAATTAAACAATATAAATTCTGCTAATGAACTTTTGTTCACCATTAAATCTCTGATGAACCAGATTCTACAAAAACATCTATATTTAAAATTTTATAGGTTTTCTTCATCATTTGATGTATTTGAACTCATTGTGTCTACTTTTATTGTTCAATTTAGATGTGCGGTTTTGTTTCTTGTATACAGATTATTTATTTTAGCTTCGATTTAAAGTATAATTCTTGTTTTGTGATTTGTACATCTGTGGGTTAGAATAAAGTTGAACTAAAGGCTGTATCTGTTCTTTAAACATGTTTGAGGGAAATATTCCTGAGATCCAAAATGTTTGTGTCTTTATGATTTTTCAGCTGACTTAACTTTAACAGTTTATTTAATAGTCATTAAAGTGACAACATGATTTCATGATAAAGACAGCACCGTTTATTTATTTATTTATTCTTTATCTTCAGTGATTAAAAAAATACATTATTTTAATCAAATGTTTTAAAAAATTGTTTTCACCCTCTGTCCCAGACACGTCCAGATCCAGATCCGCCTGTTTTCCAGGGCTCGGGGTCCGGCTTTCAGAAGCATGCAAGGCCGGGGCTCAGGTGGGCCCCAGCCTTGCATGCTTTAATGGGTCCACAGTTCGTATGATCCTCCGCGGTGACCAGCGGAGCTCGGAGCAGGAGCCCGCGAGGCCAGGGCCCTCCCGTCCCGGCCTTGCTTGCTCCTGCGGGTCGGCAGCACAGAGGATCTTGCGCGGTGAGCGGCGGAGCTCGAAGCCGGGGAGATGGTATCCTGCCCAGCCTGAGGGTCTCTAAGGAGAGGACTGGCAGAGCTCCATCTAACTCGCTCTGAATTTTATCGTCGGCCACCAAGCACAAAAATTTCCTGCACTTCTGCATTACTCCACCCCCTGACCAATCAGTGACCAATCAGTGACCAATCAGTGACCAACAGTGTTCTGACGTCACGTTTTGGTGCCAGCTCCGCCCGCTTGGAACCCCAGAGGAAATGGTACTGAAAAAGTGGACCGGTTCCAGGAACATTACTAGTGGAAAAGCCTTGGAACTGTGCCTAGTCAAGTCGAACCGTGCTTTACCGTTACTAATGGAAAAGGGGCATAATAGAAGGAAATGGACAGGACTTCTTAAAGCACCATTCTAAAAAGTGTTTTAAGTTAATCCCTGTCATTCACACACACACTAATATATTTGGAAAACAAACAGGCACCAAAGAACAATTGTAACTTTTAACCTGATTATTTAAAATGTTTACTCCTTAAATGTTTAGATTAAAGGGAAACACCAAACCAACATATGTATTGTTCTGAGTGTTTACAACTACTAACCTGTGTAACAGTATTACTGTGGTGATACATTTAAAAATATTCATATTTAACATTTAATCTGCGTCTATAATAACGAGATCCTGAAATGTAGGTATGATGTAGATTTTCTGAATAAAAAGCACTAATGTTTACATTTAACTGATTTTGATTAATCACATCGATGAACATATAAACATCTATCTGTCTGTCTGTCTGTCTGTCTGTCTTTCTATCTATCTATCTATTTACATATATATATTAAAGGCCTTAAAGAGCAAACATTTTCATTTCCAGATGGTGACAGTTTTTGAAACTAAGCTCAGGAGTTACATTATCGCGGAAAAGATCTGCCACATTCATTATGGCAGACTCTCCAATGTACCACTGCTATGGGCCAACCTGCTCAATGAGGCATCTACGTATATATGTCTATGCTTCTGACGCCAGTGCTGTAAGTGTCACTTTTGAGACTTTCTTACAGATCCAGATTCACAAAGGTAATGCTGCGTTCAAAGCTGGAGAAAGGCTGGGTGGGACATATGAGCTTTACCAGATTTACTGAGTTATTGGGAAAAGACACATTTGTTACTTGGCACAGTAGCTCATAACCCCTATATTAAAACACAGGCACATATACTTAAAACATATTATCTTTTATTTTCTGCTAAAAAAACATAGAGGAAAAAAAATCATAGTAGTATTTCCACAAGAAGAAAATGTTAATTCTGTGAACTGGACAGGTGAAATAAACATTAAAAAATGGTTAGAGTATTCCTCCACTTACACAACTACTGGAAAAATATATTTTCTAGGATTTTCTTCCTTTGCTTAAAATATTAGGAATATAAATTTTTCCACTGTATATTTTTCCAGAAAACCACCGGAAAATATGCTTTTCCTGATATTTTTAGCAGAGGAAGAAAAAAAAACCTGAAAACATATTTTGTGAAAATTGAAATGTGTGCATTTGAAAAACTGTTTATGCATTTGTAAAACTTAGGGTACGCTTGTGGATCTTATTGTAGGCATACAAATCTTGTACGCTTCTGTGCCTACTTTTAAGACAGATTTATCTTCATAAACCACGGTCCAATTTCCATCTGTAAACTCCATGGCAAGTAAACACACCTTGTATGTATGTAGAATTTAACATTGTATCAGAACCATTAACTGTAAATACAAAATCATTCCTCTATCCATCCATTTTCTACTGCATGTCTGTGGTCTGGTTGTGGAGGCAAAATTGATACACTCTCCTGCTTCTCCTGGGGAATCTCAAGGTTTTCCTGGGCCAAAGAAGATCTATAATCCTAGTGACTTCTTTGTCTGTTCTGTGGTCTTCTCTCAGTGGAAAGTGACTGTAAACCCCCCGACGGATTCAGCACCATGGATAGCACCTCTGTCATACTGAATCAATACCCTGTTATTGATTTCATGGAGATTGTATGTTTTAGAGGCAACTAGGTTGTTCTTTTTCTTTTAATAATCTGTTTTTGTCCACATGCCCAGATCCAATAAATTAATTATTGGAATGCTTTGGTTGTGATTTTGAGGAATCTCATTTATCATAAATACCACCTTTTTGACCGCTATCATTTGTTTTTCTTACAGGACAGTGATACAGCATACCAAAGCTCTGGACCCTACCCGACCTGTCACCTATACCACCTATTTAGATGTTGACAAGGACTTAGGAGTGAGTCTTTTATAATTTTTATATCAATATCAACAGTGTAGTGCATCAAAGCAGCACTACCTGCAGAATCAGAGAAAATAAACATTACATATTGCTCCAAAATTTTAAGGAAATCTATCATTAGATTGCCTGAACATTTTGTAGCAAGACAAGGTTATTTACCGTATTCTGTACCAAAGACTGTACCTAGGGAAAGCCACACCTATGGTTTACCTAAAATCCACAAACAAGGTGTACATTTAAGACCAATTGTTAGCACGATTAACTCTGTCACTTACAATGTTTCCAAATATCTGGCATCTGTACTCATCCCTTCAGTTGGCAGCTCAGAACAACACATACAGAACACCATGGACTTTGTGGATAAAGTGAGGGATGTCATCATGGAGACTGATGAAACAATGGTCTCTTTTGATGTCACATCACTCTTTACGTGCATTCCTGTTGATGATGCAGTAGAGGTGGTCAGTTTAAGATTAAAATCAGACACCACGCTGAGCAGCAGGACCACACTTTCCACAGAACAACTG